TGCTTTGTTTTTTTAACTCTGCCTAGCAATAGACACTGAGTTTTAGTTTACCTTTACGCGCATTTACTAATGAGCACTTATCTTGATTTCTCCTAACTAGTTTCCATTTATTTGATTTAATCTGTATATTTAATACTAATGGATTTTTGTATCTAGTTTATAACGGTGGAGATGATGCCCTAATATCAGCCTAGTTCTACAGATTATTTTCATTATCTATGCATTGTTAGGCTTCCTTATTTTCAATGAGTCACTTGGCAGCATCATATTTCAACTCGATTATTTATACCATAATTAAGGGCAAAGTTTTAACACCTCCCGAAGGTCACTTTAGTTTACTCAAGTGGACGACTTTGATCACAAGCAAGTAATGTTAAAATTGAACTTTTATATTCTTTTATTCTGGAAAATTTAATCCTCCATTTTTCTGAGACGAGCTGAATAAGTAAACTTTGCAATCTGCATGTAACATGTAATTGAGGCCTAATGCGAAAACTCAACCAACATCTCTTCTACAAACCGGACATTCCGTAGCTTTAGTATCAAGGTTGGATTTAAGGGGCTAGTGTTGGCTCACATTATTGCTATCCTTGCACTTATTTTTAGAATTGAAGTGTTGTTGCCAAGGCTCTGGTCAAAGATCCTGTCTAACCTTTACCGCAACTTGCTTTAGGATTTCTCGATTCTAGTGCAGAAATATTTTATCTCTGCTTCAATAAGAATCCTTGCAAAAGCACGGACTAGGCTGGCCTAGCTTCGTGTATCGGGGTACCGATCGGTATTATTTGTCATACATGTCTAGATACCGGTCAAGCTTCGATCAATATTTCAGCCAAAGAGTGGCTCAATGGAATTATATTATATTGCCTGAAATATACAAATTTTTATGGATTCTTCTGAGTTTTTTTACAAAGCACAAGAGTCCAACAGATCTACACTTGAAACATGCAAAACGGGCGTATTTTTATGCGATCACTAGGCTACGACGCCTTTGTGAGACCAAGATAAATGTCTTAGTTAATCTCTTCACATCAGCTATCCAGTAGTCTTCTTACACCAAATGGGATTGCTCAAGCCCTTGTTTGTTTCACAGGAGCAAGATTTATATAAGCCATTTGGTTTTATTTGCTAAAGTTGTTCTTCTGTATACTGATCCCATCAGATAACCGACGGATTTATTTTTGCTGTCCCAGAACTTAAATGCTGGCTTATTTATCTAAGCATCCTCTTTCTGTGCCTTTGGTAATGTGCAGGATTAGAGACGCCGGGGCTGTAGCCTCATGACATCGAGCCTATAGCGCTTCAAGAAAACCCATAGACTCAATTCTACCTACTGTGTCCACATTAACGTGTCAGCGAAATCAAACACTAGCCCCCAAAGTATCCGACGAACCTCTTGCACACTTTTAAAGTAAATGTAGGTCTGCTCAGCAATGCTGCTTTAAGAGCCTGATTTATATTTTTTACCCGAGTTTACTTCCTTTTATATTCATCTTTGGTAAAATGGGGCGTTAGGAAGTATCGGTACTTTTATTGTATGCGATCAGAATATTATTCCGCTAATGGCCATTTCCACTGTGGATTTATTAATTATCACTATTTCATTTCAGCTGCTAATGTCACTCATCTGTGACCTTCGCAACATGGAAGAAACTATTGCTGAACTGAAATATGATGCTAAACGCTCTCCTCTAGGAAAATTAACAAATTCTCAGATTAAAGCTGGTTACGATGCTCTAAAGCGTGTCTCTGATGCCATTGACAAGATATTGCACATCCAGAAATCAGATTCTATTGGCCCTAATGTGGATCATCCCTTAAATCCAGATGACATAGACATGACTGCTAGGGTTCGCCGGCCTAAGAGGGCATCGAGCAATGCAGGTGCATTAAGAAAGGCCCGTGATGACCTTTTAATTGCCTGTAATCAATTCTACACTCGTATACCACATGATTTTGGGTAAC